TCGCACACCCCCATCCCAGTCAGGGATGGTGTGTACAATGCGCCGTCTAACGCCCAGGCTAGGGATTTCCTTCACGTCGCGGTATTAGCTGTTCGTGAATGCTTCGCGCACGAGAGGTGGAACACTCATCGCGTTCGATGACCCTGAGAGCCCGGATCCATGGTAAGGGGCAGCTCAACTCGGCCCTTCTCTCGTCCAGTCCGGGCCCTCACGCAAATAGCAACTCTGTGGCTTATTCCAGAAGGAATCCTGAGGCAACCGAAGCGGCAATTCATAAACATGAAAGCAAGTTTAACCCGGCTGATATAACTAGTCCCTTAGGGGCAACTTTAAGCGGTTGATCTTGCCAAAGTCCATTTGTTTCGCTCATAAAAATAAAATCTGTTTTCTTTTACGAAAACAGGCCCATAGAAAGCGTACCACGAGATGATCTCTCCCTTAACCTTGACGATTCCCTCGCACAAGCGCCACCACATGACGGCCAAAAGGCAGCAACAACGAACACTTCCATGATGCCTCCTCTGTCCACGACCCAATAGCTCGCTGAAATACAATCTGAGTCTGTACAGGCTTTAATATACACATGTTCAGGCCGCGATATCCAGCTAGACTCGCTTATCAAACGATCAAAAACTTGCGCAGTCATATCGACGACTCAGAAGCAGGGTCGACCCTTACACGGTTTTTGTCTAAAAGCGCTACACACCTTCATCTTCGCCAGGGCAACACAGTTAATGCTGCAATAAACACTGACTCGCAATGAAAGGGCCCAGACGCCAACATACACATCATAATTATGCAAGGACATAACTAGACGATGTATGCCCATTTGGGTATATCCATTGGAAAATGTACTGGTAGAGCATTAACCTCAAGAGTTTTTGAATTTGACGCAACTTTTCCTTTTTGTGAAGCACACTTTTTATTACGTGCTTTTATTTTGCCCTCCCAAAGAAGGCGGAGGCTTATTAGCCAGTTGGCAAATTATATACCAAATAAGGGAATCCCTTTGCCCATGACACCCTGCGCCTCCCCCGTGTTCCCCACCCAATCTTGCGCCATTTCACAGAAAATCCTACCTGATGTTTGTTAGGCACTCGTCCTTGACACTTCTTTCATAGAGTAATCTACCTGCGTAGGCTTTTATTTAATATAATGACAGAGTTATCGGGATCAAAATGTGTCTATTTATTTCTCTTCTTGTCCCCTTTCAAGAAGATTGATGCTGAGTGCTTGCCGGCTTACGGGGCTGAGTTATTATATCCCTTTTTTGCAGAATTACAAACAAATCTGTCTCATATACCCCATAGCCTACGCCCTAATATCAACGCAGGCAAGTGCAAGTTAATAGTTTTTTTTCCAGAACCGGTCAGCCTTTTCCCGCAATAAAAAACGAAATGTTATATCCTCCAGGAGTCACCATGCAGTAGGCACTGCATTAAGCCAGCATCCCAGTTTTAATCGAAAGCCTCTGTGTTCGTTAGGACTATCAAAACGTTTAACAGATGTTTGGATTTGAATAAAGTCTTTTATCCTTTGATAAGGTCAAGGTCTTCATGAAACAATAACAACGGGTCATTTCTGTATTGAATTTCAATTGATTTTATTCTTTGTACGCTTTGACTGGACCTTAAACGTATCATATTTGTCTCATAAACGCCGATAAACTTACTGCCAGTCACATTTAATACAGATTTGGCGTTATTACTTCTTCACTCCCACCCATTACCACACTGTTATTTGCTGCCAAGTAGCACCTTGTTGTCCATATCCAACCGACGCAAGCAGCACGTCTAAAGCATGGGGGAACTCTGATTACAGTGGCGCCTTTTAATCGACCCGCGGCCATGCACATTAGATAGATCAAGCTACATTCTCATTTATCTCATGGGACCAAATGACATTGGTGGTACACACAGGACGCCTATGTGGTGGTGTGATGTAAGCTTGGCATATAGGTGGAGTAACCGCTTTACTATTGGGGAAACGCCTGGCATGCTAGTAGACCGGCCGGCGCAGCCTAACCAATCAGAGGCAGACATGGGGCTATGGTTCCAGACAGAAGGTATGTTTCAGTGGTGGACATAGACTTCGAGAGGTCACCTATGTCAGTTTCGATGGAAATGAAATCAGCAAGTGGGGCCTCCCCTACATGGGATGTCTCAGTAAATGCTATCAAATACTGGTTTCCACCAATCCACTATCTAAGTGTGGAAAAGCATGTTATACTTTTAAAGAAAGCATGTTCTGGAACCCTAGAAAACATGCTTTACGGCATTTCAAACTGGGGGATAATAGTCTGTTTTCAGCACAAAGTCAACCCATTAAAGTATGGGGGTATAAGAAACAGTTGTATTTGGTTTGGCATAAATATGCATCAAGATTTCCAGGGAATTCATGTACTTCAAAGTCATTCTGTGTGTCGTGTGTGTGTGTGTGTGTGTGTGTGTGTGTGTGTGTGTGTGTGTGTGTGAATTGTGTGTGTGTTGTAGTGTGTGTGTGTGTGTGTGTGTGTGTGGTGTGTGTGTGTTGTGTGTGTGTGTGTGTGTGTGTGTGGTGTGTGTGTGTGGGTGTGTGTGGTGTGTGTGATGTGGTGTGTGTTGTGTGTTGTGGTTGTGTGTTGTGTGTGTGTGTGTGTGGTGTGTGTGTAAGGAGCTGCAGGCTGCACCCCATCGTTTTCAGTGAGCAGGGACAGAGAGGGAGAAGGCCCAGCAGTGAGGCTGGTGAGGGAGCAGGTGGCCTGGGAGGCGAGGGAGCGCTGGCAGCATAGCAGCTCAGAAAATGCAGGACGGTACTGCTGAACACACACAGCACACACACACACACACACACACACACACACACACACACACACAGCACACACACACACAGCAACACACACACACACACATCACACCACACACACACACACACACACACACACACACACACACACACACACATTCTATTAGATGAGATAGTTTGACTTTATTGAACCCAATTTGGGAAATGTATTTTCACGGCAGATCGTAAACAAGGCATTGGACATGAATTAAAAAAATAAAATAGAGTAGGAAACAAACATATACATCTCAACAGTATATCTATATCAAAAACACAATATAAAAATACAGATGAAGTTAGAACACACTATAATAGACCATCCCTATGCCAACATAATATAAGCAACGAATACTACCGGTATTAACATTATAAAAGTGTGCAAAGTAATTGCGGCTTTAAAATATTTATTGTTGAGTTTATTATTATTAGTAGTAGTAGTAGTAGTAGTAGTAGTAAATGGTGTATTCATTAGATCATTAGTATGATATAAAAACATTATTTGAAAACATCTTACTTGCTGTGTATTTGACTTTAATACAATTTAAAGAAGTGTTGTCTGTCTATGAGTGTAATACTTATCCTTCAATATCTGTGGCTGATATTTCGTAACATGTCTGTTAAGTTACTTTTTAATACGTTTAACTTTAATACGTTTTACTAAGTTAGGACATTTTGATGGACATTGAGTGGACATGTAGAATGTTAATAAATCCCTTCTTCATGGTCAACAAATCAGACTAACTACCAAATATTTTTACCGGACTAGCATCCTAAGACGTTTTCATAACATGTCCATTCTGCCCCTGCAGGTAGTTAGGAGTTAAAGATATCCAGCCTCCAGAATAAAACCCACCTCTCATGTTTGTTGTCAGGTTCAAAGACTCTCTTTCCAAAGTGGTTACCGTGGTCGCCATCTGCAGCGACCACAGAGTCTCCACCTACAGCCTGCCCACGCTCCCGGAGCATTCAGCGCAGCTCAGACATCAGACGAGGCCCGGCTGGCCTGAGGGAGACGGGGCTGCTGCAGCGGAACATGGAAGACCCAGAGTGGAACCTGCCAAAGACAGCAGCATGCTGGAAGGTAGGTGTGATGGAAACTTCTGAAGCAATGGAGACGAGACTCAGAGAGACACGGAGAGAGCTGGAACTTGATGGCAAACATTTAGGGTTTATTTGGAGCTACGGCCGGAGAATTCACAAGACATGAGGTGACACAGCAGTTACCAAACCAATTCTGAAGATCTCTACCCCAGACCCATGTATTTAGCTAGTTCTGAGAGAATAATCAACATTGTGTGATGAGTATAAGTGTTGATGACATTGAAAAATATATAACATTACCAAGGTTAGAATTGTAATTAAAAATGGAAAGTAAAAGGAAATGGTTGCCCCTGCTCTTAAAAATAATAATAAAAGCATCATTTATGGGGTCTACTGCTGTGCTGTGCATATCATTAATGAAGCATTGAAGCTCCTTTCCTGAGAATTTCAAATATTTCCTAAAATGGGATCAATACAAGTTTATATAATCTAGTTTAATCAAAAGAGAATTTTGACAGCTCTCTTATAATGTCTGCCACTTGGTTAATCCTGGGTCCTTCAGAGGAGGATCTGTGCCCCCTGGTGGCCGGCTCGGAAGGGGTGAAGCTGGGGGACCGGCAGATGGAGAGGCTCCGTAAGGCTGCAGAGAAAGCTGAACAAGCTCGAGCCAAGATAGAGAAGAGGAAGCAGGAATGGGCCCAACTGTGAGTGTCTAACATCATTTTAGTTAGATTTATAAATGGCATTATTATTTCTTTATAGTCATTGTGTCCTTTGATGGCTTTTGTAGTTAAAAAAGAAAAATTAAAGCCCGGGGAAAGAGGGTAATATTCAGAGTAAAAAACTTCAGAGATTGAAGTTCATAGAATAAGCGAAATTGTTTGATATTAGATCACACATTCAAAGGAAAGAAACTTTATAATCATCACCACACAGACGTTTTTGGTGATAGGGAATGCCAAAGAACACGTTTTTCTCACAAATGTATGAGTTGGATCTTAGAAACTTGAGTAAAACCCCCCTCTCCTAGTGCGGTAACAGTCCTTATTCATGTTTCTTGCGCTTAATTTTAAAAACATGTCATGTGGGGCAAAACACGATTGGTGGATCTCTATTGTAACTATTATGATGCTAGTAAAAAACTGTGACAGCATTTTGGTGTCTCAGTTACGCAGAGAAGCCGAGCGAGAACTGTGAGGATCCGCAGGATGTGCAGGCCATCGTCGAAGCCAAAGAGAACCTCGGAGACTTAAAACTGAAGTCAGACAAAGACTTCACGATGCCCAAACACCTGAGGATGAACGCTGAGAGGAAGAGCACAGAGCTGATAGGCCTGGAGAAAAAAGTAGACACACACACACACACACACACACACACACACACACACACACACACACACACACACACACACACGCGTGTGTGTGTGTGTGTGTGTGTGTGTGTGTGTGTGTGTGTCTACTTTTTTCTCCAGGCCTATCAGCTCTGTGCTCTTCCTCTCAGCGTTCATCCTCAGG